CGTCAATTTGCTGTCAACTTTTCTTTGGAAGGCAAGGAATACTTTTTTTAAGATAATACTGACACATTACTCTGGAAACGTCAGCCTGTAAATGATGGTCCTGATGTCCCAACACTGGGATTATTTGCAGTGTTAACCTTACCTTCAAAGGGACCGGAATTGGGTTTTATTAAAATTTTCCAGAAAATCTCCTTTGCTATCTATGCTGGTGGTGCAACAAACGGAGTGTGCAGTTATTTGAGACATTAGGATAAATTTTACCAAAAAAACCCTATGGCTTTGCTGCATTTCTTAAGTATCAGAGTAACAGCCGTGTTAGTCTGTATTCGCAAAAAGAAAAGGAGGACTTGTGGCACCTTAGCGACTAACCAATTTATTTGAGCATGAGCTTTCGTGAGCGACAGCTCACTTCATCGGATGCATACTGTGGAAAGTACGGAAGATCTTTTTATACACACAAACCATGAAAAAATGGGTGTTTACCGCTACAAAAGGTTTTCTCTCCCCCACCCCACTCTCCTGCTGGTAATAGCTTATCTAAAGTGATCACTCTCCTTACAATGTGTATGATAATCAAGTTGGGCCATTTCCAGCACAAATCCAGCTTTTCTCCCCCCCCAAACTCACTCTCCTGTTGGTAATAGCTTATCTAAAGTGATCACCCTCCTTACAATGTGTATGATAATCAAGGTGGGCCATTTCCAGCACAAATCCAGGGTTTAACAAGAACGTCTGGGGCTGGGAGGTAGGAAAAAACAAGGGGAAATAGGTTACCTTGCATAATGACTTAGCCACTCCCAGTCTCTATTCAAGCCTAAGTTAATTGTATCCAATTTGCAAATGAATTCCAATTCAACAGTCTCTCGCTGGAGTCTGGTTTTGAAGTTTTTCTGTTGTAATATCGCAACTTTCATATCTGTAATCGCATGACCAGAGAGATTGAAGTGTTCTCCGACTGGTTTATGAATGTTATAATTCTTGACATCTGATTTGTGTCCATTTATTCTTAAGTATGTTATCCAGTCTGCTGCAAGCACCAACAACAATCACTATATGTTCAATGAGCAATAATTTCTAACTATTCACTAACCACCTGATCAGCATCCTATACAGCAAACAGGAAAACATCAAAAAAGAGCTCTCCAACCTGCAGACTCTCATAAATAACCAACCTTCCATACAAACGGACTTTACTAAAATAAGACAGGGGATCTACATTACACACTTCACCTCTCTACAAAGGAAAAAGGACTGTCTAAAATCCTACCTGCCAATGGGGCCACAACAGTGGTACCCCTAACTCACCCAGCAATATCGTCAATCTATCCAGCTACACACTTAGCCCGGCAGAAGAGTCTTCCTATCTCGGGGACTCTCTTTCTGCCCTGCCACCCCCACAAACATGATACAGTTCTGCAGTGATCTGGAAGCCTATTTTCGCCATCTCTGACTCAATGAATACTTTCAAGATAACACTGAACAGCACAGTGATACACAGATACCCTCCCACCAACAGCACAAGAAGAAGAACTCCCCATGGACTCCTCCTGAGGGTCGAAATGACAGTCTGGACCTATACATAGAATGCTTCCACCGACGTGCACAGGCAGAAATTGTAGAAAAACAATATAGCTTGCCTCATAACCTAAGTTGTGCAGAATGCAATGCCATCCACAGCCTCAGAAACAATCCTGACATTATAATCAAAGAGGCTGATAAAGGAGGTACTGTTGTCATCATGAACAGGTCTGACTACCAAAAGGAGGCTGCCAGGCAACTCTCTAATACCAAATTCTACAGGCCACTTTCCTCAGATCCCACTGAGGAATACACTAAAGAAAGTGCACCATCTACTCAGGACACTCCCTACACTAACACAGGAACAAATCAACATAGAATAACCCTGGTTGGGGTTCTAAGGGTATCTATTACCCAAGATCCACAAACCCGGAAATCCTGAACGCCCCATCATCTGGTAGCCATCTTGCAGCAAAAAACCTTCAGGACCAGACTTTAACAAGAAACTGCTGAGCTTCAGTTCATTTGCAAATTTGACACCGTCAGCTCAGGATTAAACAAAGACTGTGAATGGCTCGCCAACTACAAAAGCACTTTCTTCTCCCTCAGTGTTCACACCTCCACTGCTAGAAGAGGGCCTCATCCTCCCTGATTGAACTAACCTCGTTATCCCTAGCCTGATTCTTGCTTGCATATTTATACCTGCCTCTGGGAATTTCCACTACATGCATCCAACGAAGTGGGTATTCACCCATGAAAGCTTATGCTCCAGAACGTCTGTTAGTCTATAAGGTGCCACAGGACTCTTTGCCGCTTTTACAGATCCAGACTAACACGGCTACCCCTCTGATACTTAACTATACACTGAAATTCCCCCCTTGTACTCAAGGCATTATGAACCATACTGTATATAGATGTCTTTGGTAGGCATAGCTTTATAATTAATGAATGGCTTTGCAAATAACCGATCATAGCTTAAGTGCAACATGTTGCCCCCACCCCAACCTTGGCAGAAGCCGCAGAGCAGCAGGGGAAGCCCCTATGCCCGACCCCGTCTCCAGCAGAAGTGCCTGGTGGGGCAGGAGAATCCACAGCACCCCGCTCCTGGTCCCCTAAAGAACCGCAGTATCCAAACCCCCGCCACAGCCCTGGGACTGGAGGAGCTCTCACTCCCTAGTACAGCCCTGGAGCTGTGACACAGGGACAGAGCTTCTCCAGTCCTGGGGCTGTGTGGGAGAGCAGGACGGGTGGGAAATGATCAAAGGAGTTGTGGGGCAGGCAAAATGGTGGGGAGCCTAGGTGGAACATGGCTGAGATCTTGGGGAAGAGGACGAAAGGAATAGGACCATAGGTGGTGCAGCCGGCAGACAGGGTGAGTGGGGCCCAACAATTGATCTGGCCCAGGGCCCCAAGAAACCTTAATCATCCCCCATGCTCCATCTTCTACGATCAACAGAGGGGACATTGTTCCATTCTGCGAAAGGAAGAAAGGTTGTCGTTGTGCATACCATGAAAGAAGCCCTGCAACTCTTTGAAAGGTATCATGGGTGGACATCTAGGAATATTCAAAATGAGGAGTATGCTGACATCAAAATACTATTGGCCAGGGATGACAAAAGACATTGCCAATTGGGTATGTAAAATAATGAAACTAAATCCTGAAGAATGCTATTTACAATTGAAATAGAAGTTCAAAATGTATTAAAGAAATATAAAAATATATTTGGTGTGCAAATGTGAACTCTGTTCCCTCGAAATACTATTTCCATAACAAAATGTTAATATCATCATATTGTTCCACCAAAAACAGGTTGCACGATATCTGACTTGCCAGAAAGAGGGAAAGGAATTAAATCTGGATACCACCTAGAAAAGCATAAAGGTGAATTTTGGAATCAGACACATTATTGTTTATCGTTATCCATGGTTATTTCTGCGATACAATGACGCTTTGATTTTGAAACGAGTCCAATGCATACAAGTGGCACAGCACAGTGTAGCAATTACCTCTAATGCACCTTTGCATTTCTTCAGCTTCACTCTTGTATTGTTTTCCATAACGCATTCCTGTCCTTCTTTTTGTTTGTCTTTTCTTTCTTTCTTTCTTTAAAAGTGGGCTTTACATTCTCTGCTTATGACATATGCGTGGAAGCCTTTCCACTTAGAAGTCAGCCAGCATCTCATCATTAGTTTCCACTGTCATTCTCTCAGGCAGAGCTCCACAAACGAAAGTGAAGGTAAATGCTAACACAATTTCATACGTAGCATGAGCAAAGCACAGTTTCATTCAGTGAGTTAAACACAGTGTGAAACAGCAAATACAATGCTATGTTTGATGTGGAGGAATACTCTAATAGTAATACATGTAATGAAATTGGGAAATACAGTGTAATGTACATTTCATGGTTTGCTTCACTGGAAACTATAATTGCATTTCTAATTTTTTTTTAAAATAAATACAGAGTGAATTACTTCAAAATGATATATTATCGCTTCCCTACCACACACCAGGTCATTGGGTTCTTGCAATAAGATGTTTTGTCTTGTACTTCTGGATTATGGGCAATAAATGTGGTATTAAATAAGAGATTTGTAACACAACTATGGTAGCAGTGATATAATTTCCCGTGTTGCGGGTTTTCAGTGAGTTCAGTGCATCCAAAGGAAAGTGGAATGTGAATGTTAAAAATAAAATGCTTCTGTCAAGTTACATTGTTAATGTAACTGGGAAGAATACATTCTGTATTGAATTGATCAATGATTTCACAATATGCTTTTCTCTTGTGTGTTACTGAGACATTACAAATGAGAATATGTTAATTGCATAATGATTTTTGATACATCAGCATAAAATTTTTGAAATAATCACATTACCAATATAATTTGTGAATATATTTACACTTACAGATAGCCTTGATGAAAAAAAAAAGGAATTGTTAATAATTGATCCTTTGTGTGATGAGATGAGATATGAAAGAACATGCCTGAGGAATTGGAGGTGATTTATTAGATACTTACTTTTACAGTGGACATGAACTGTTCCATTGAAAATTTTGTTAAAGGGAATGTAACAATAGTGAGACTAATATCTTCCTGTCATCTACAAATAAAAATGGAAACAGCATGTACTTGTACTAAATATGCTTACTAATGGACTTTGAGTGAACTTGTGTGATTTGACCGTGGGGAAAGACTTCACAGAATGTGGACACGAAACAGTAGCATGCTGCATGATTGAGAATGTGTTATTATCAACATGGGGCACAGCAAATCAGGTGATACACTGTGTAAGAGTGAGACAATCATATGAAAGCAAGTGTGTTTATATGTGAGCAATAAGTCATTTAAATCATTAAGTAAAAAGAGCTAGAATTGATTTGTATCTATGTCCAGAAACCAGAGTGGGGCGGGGGGCAGGAAGGAAAGAAAAGCTCATTTATGCAGTCCGCTAATGTACTCTCTAAAAATTTCAGAAACTTCATCAAACGATTAACTAGAAAGTCGTCATCCGATTGGAATAGTAAAATTGTTCAGCATCGCAGACAAAGTGATGGCCACAACTGCGGACCACTCATCTTCAAGGTATTGAATACCAAATTGCCATTATCATTTGTTATGTACGTGTAATTATCCAGGATGAAAGTAAATGCCAGAGATTACCAGTGTGTACTGCACTGGCATCCTTGCCAAGGTGTGTGGGGTGGGCTTGTGGCCCCCAGAAGGGATGGAGTCTCCGGTGGAAGGTGCAGTGCTGGGGGGCCAGATTCCACCAGCCAGCCCTTCCTGACAGCTGCTGCTGCAGTGGCCAGGAGCACCAGGTCCTTGTAAATTGCCAGAACACAGGGTCCCTTTTGCTCCCCCACTGTCAGCGGCCATGCCAGTAGCATGCAACAGCACTGCCGGACCCTATGGCAGGGCCGCTGATGCGGGGGGGGGGAGGGAGAAGAATGTGATAAAGGGGGCAGCAACGTTAAAGCATAACGCACTGCCACAGCAGAAGTGTAACGTCAGCCATGTACAGGCCGGTACCAGTGGTCGTTTCTTACCAATATGCTGGGCCGGCCCACTTTCACCTCTGGTAATTATGATGTTTATTCTAAATATCAGTGTTGTTAGTCTGCAGAAACGTATTTGCAGCACAAAGACATCAGTACGGTAGAAACAACCCAAGAGGCTAATACTGCGTTTAGAAGACATATAGCAATTCTTCTAATGAAGGAGTCAGGTAATTACTTTCTACCATGTACTGTGGACTCATTAGGCACATGTGAAGATAACAGGAAGAGTGGAATTATGTCACGTAGCAGACAGTTATCTTAATACCCCTAAAGTGGGATATCTCACAGATTTGGTTCTGTAATGGTGACTATGTATCAATAACGTCTTTAAGGACACAAAAATCTGAATGGGGTGAATGGTTGCTATTGATCGACCAGTTGAATGAAATTGGTATTCTTACATACAGGTGCAGTAAAGTAAAAATTTGAGAAAATATGACTCACAAAAAAGAAAAAGATATGTTCAAACCAGTGACTGGATTAAAATATTGACATTAATTAATAAATCAAGATTTGCATTTTCAGTGTTGGTCGTAACGTATTCATCATTTCATAGCGCTGTATTTATTTTTAAGAAAGCGTGGAGGACTACTGCACCTACCGCAACCCTGTCAACTGTGAAAAGGAAAGTGAGGATTGCACAACGGTAAGAAATACAGAATTGTATGAGAAATAAATGCCATAAACTGCCTCAGGATCATGATTCTTGTAAAAATTCCACATCAGTAAACATTTTCATCATGCTGATAGGCATATGTTAGGTAATGTGACATGTGGAAGGAACAGCACGAGTGAATGCAAAGTATGTGTAACATTATAACTTCGGTGATTTCATTTTCTCAATTGTTACTTCTCAAAGTTCCAGTGTGATTCTTGCAAGAGGTGGGCACATATGCCCTGCATTACAGAAGGAACCAATCAAGACTACCTGACTGAGGAGAAGAAAGAGTACAACTGCAAAAAATGTGCATAGTTCCCTTCTTTACCAAAAAAAAAACAAAAAAAAACACCATTATATTTAAATGCCTCTTGTTCAAAACATAATGCAACCAAACAAAAAATTTTATTTATATTATATAAATTATAATATACCAGATAAATTATATATATATTATATATAATCTGGTATATATAAATTATATATACCAGATTACAATAATAAATGTTTTTTATTTGAAAACAATTATCCTTGGTATTTGTGTCCATGTGTACAATGCAAATTATAAAAAGCAGCATCTTGAGCTGTAGGTCACGAAAGCTGTAGGTCAAATAAATTGGTTAGTCTCTAAGGTGCCACTAGTACTCCTTTTCTAAAAGCAGCAAAGAGGAAGCAAATCGTGACTGTTTTCGACCAGAAACGCCATCCCTCCTGATTCACAACCCCTGGACCAAGCGGTAAAGTCAATTTGGCACATGAGCAAGGAGGAAGCAAATTGTGAGTGTTTTCGACCAAAAACCCCATCCCTCCTGATTTGCAACCATCCCTGGACCAGTGACAGGTGCATGGGCAGCCAAGTCATTGGAAATAAGCAAGGAGGAAGCCAGTGAAAAAAATCAAAGGGGCCACTCTGGTATCACCTTGGGCTCATGGGCATGCTCCATACCCCCAAACCTTACCTCACTTTTCACGTACTCACATGCAAAATGAAGCAGCACGCTTCAATCATCAAATACATCAACTGCGCAAATTAGCTAGGAGGAAGGTAACTGAGTGTTTTCGACCACAAAACCCCATCCCTCCTGATTCGCAACCTCTGGACCAGGCAGTAAAATCAATTTGGCACATTAGCAAGGAGGAAGCAAATCGTGAGTATTTTCGACCAAAAACCCCATCCCTCCTGATCTGCAACCCTGGCAGGTAGTAACAAGTCCTGAGAGGTAGCCAAGATGGTCACATTTGCGTGGCGGAAACTGCACCTAGTTGCAAAAGGGGAGGGTTGCTAGCCATGCCGCCCCAAGAAATGTGCTCACGCCGCCCCAGCTCGCCTCCGCCTGCTCCCCTGAGCATGCCGCCACCACTCCGATTCTCCCCCCTCCCTCCCACCCAGGCTTGCCACGCGCCAAACAGCCGTTTCACGCGGCAAGCCTGGGAGGGAGGGAGGAGAAGCTGAGAGGCGGCGCGCTCGGGGGAGGCGGTGGTGGTGGAGCGGAGGTGAGCTGGCTAGCTCCCTATCCTGCAGACCAGCCTCTCTCGATGCTGCTGCATGTTGCAAAAAAAGAGGACTCTGATCGATGGGAGCAAAACCAAGGCAGCCAGTTCTCTGAGACTCCAGCACACGGTCCCAGGATGGATGCCGTGGTTGACAACATGAAAAACAGCGCAGAGGTCAGGAAGGCTGGCGAATGAGAGTCAGATGAGAAGAGATCACTTAACTCCCCAGGGGTGGTAGGTTCTGCCCCAGGCTGGTTTGTAGAGCAATGGCTGCTGGGCAATTTTACATTTTAACTGAAAACCATTTTGTCATCATTTTTTGTTCTGAGTTTGAGAAAAGGAAGAAATGAGAAAGTGTCATATAAGTATCAAATGGGTTTATGCCTCAAATTCTTAGGGTTTCAGCTATATTCAGGCCAATTCCAGAACAAAGAACAGAAGCTGCATCCACAGAGTCCATAAAGTCAATGATTATTGTCATGATTTGCATTATTCATTGGGGCACCATCTGTGTACTCAGCACTGTTCAGAATATGCCAGAAAATCTAGTCCCTGAGCCAATGCATATAAGATACGTAACTCTGGATAAGATGACTCAGATATTTAAGTATGAAGTGTATAGTTATTGACCACACATGTTATCACATGTTCACTGTGATGTTTATATCTGAGCGGAGGCGCTGATGGCAACAGAAGTTTTAGTTGTTTAAGAGCTAGAAGATTTGACCCTCCAATTTTCTTTCTAAAGGAAGAGCTGCCCAAAGCTCCTGTGCTTGTTTATTTTCCTTTCCTGCCTGCAGTGGCCCTGAGATACCTCAGAAGTCTCAGGTTTTTTTCTCAATTTAAAATACAGAATTTTCTTGTGTTTGGTTTTAAATAGTCTCGTCTGAGAACTGCCACTCAATTGCTGTGGTGTTGTGTTTAAGAGCCTCCTGGAAAGTAACTAGCCTTTAAACAGAAGTAAAAGCAGTGTTGCCAACTCTCATGATTTTGTCATGAGTCTCATGATAATTGTTTACCTTAAAGCCCCAACTCCTGGAGTCAGGTGGATAGGTGATGATTTCACCCTTCATTCTTAAAGAAAAATGAAGTTTCTAGTCCTCCTGATTGTGGAGAAAGCTTCAAAATGTGACCCCAGTGCACCCTATGGGCTCAAAAAGCAGAAGGCAAATAAAAAGAACCCCAAATCTGTTATTTTTACATAATCTCATGATGTTAAAGCCAATTTCATGATTTTTGGTGAGCCTGATTCATGAATTTTGAACATTTGGGATTGGCAATACTGTGAAAGTGACTTGAAAGTGTCAGTTTCACGCCGGTTTAAGGTTAGTTTCTAGTCTATTACCTGGAGTGAGGTAACACCTCTAGAGCCCCAGGCAGGTGTAGTATAAACTCGTGGGGCCTTGCCCTAGTAGGATGTTTCCAAAGTTAAATGATCTATTCCAAGCTTGGTGAACTGCAAAAAGAGCGATAGAAAGTCATCTAGATTTTTCTACAGTTGTTTCAATTGTTGTATTCAAGAGATGGTAACAAAGAATATACATTATATATTGGACCTAGGGGTGACAGTGGACGAGAAGCTGGATATGAGTCAGCAGTGTGCCCTTGTTGCCAAGAAGGCCAATGGCATTTTGGGATGTATAAGTAGGGGCATAGCGAGCAGATCGAGGGACGTGATCATCCCCCTCTATTCGACATTGGTGAGGCCTCATCTGGAGTACTGTGTCCAGTTTTGGGCCCCACACTTCAAGAAGGATGTGGATAAATTGGAGAGAGTCCAGCGAAGGGCAACAAAAATGATTAGGGGTCTGGAACACATGACTTATGAGGAGAGGCTGAGGGAACTGGGATTGTTTAGTCTGCGGAAGAGAAGAATGAGGGGGGATTTGATAGCTGCTTTCAACTACCTGAGAGGTGGTTCCGGAGAGGATGGTTCTAGACTATTCTCAGTGGTGGAAGAGGACAGGACAAGGAGTAATGGTCTCAAGTTGCAGTGGGGGAGGTTTAGGTTGGATATTAGGAAAAACTTTTTCACTAGGAGGGTGGTGAAACACTGGAATGCGTTGCCTAGGGAGGTGGTGGAATCTCCTTCCTTAGAAGTTTTTAAGGTCAGGCTTGACAAAGCCCTGGCTGGGATGATTTAATTGGGGATGGGTCCTGCTTTTGAGCAGGGGGTTGGACTAGATGACCTCCTGAGGTCCCTTCCAACCCTGATATTCTATGATTCTATGATTCTATTAAAATTTTAAACCTAACCAGTGTTCTTTAAGTGATTTGACACAAAATGTGAGAACATGTTAGTATTAGAGCTCAGTAGGTTTAATATTTATTAAATCCTCTTTTTTTATATAAGAATTAGATACAGTGCCCTGTCAGCTAATTTCTAAATTATTATCTTAAAAAAAAAAAAACCCTAGAGTTTTCAGGTGCCTACATAGCCCTTGGAATCAAGGTTGAAGTTGCCTCCCCCCCTACCAAAATTGGAAATGGCGCCCCTGTCCAGGAAATACACCTTAACACACTCAAAACTGCCTTCACCAAACAAGGACACTCCACCAGAGATGTAGATTGCATCATGGAATGGGCCATCCAAATACTTCAAGAGAACCTGCTTCAATTCAGAAATAAAACCCCTCTGATGCACACTCATAGTTATCACCTAGCACCCCACGCTGGAGCCCACATGGGGTATCATCAAACAGTTACAACCCATACTTGATGGGGATCCCATCCTGAAATAAATACTTCCAGAACTCCCTCTTCTAGCCTTCAAACAACCCCCATCTCACCAAGCTCATCATCAGAAGCAAGCTCCACACAGCCCAGGAGACACCAACTCAAAGCAGCACCAGACCCTGCCAGAACAACAGATGCAAAACCTGCAGACACATCTCCACGGCTACAATGATCAACACCCCACAACACACCTTTCAAGATACATGAGTCCTGCGCATACCTATCACAACATGTGGTGTACCTCATCCAGTGCACTAAATGCCCCAATAACGACTGTATGGATGAAATCAGACAATCACTATGCTCTTAAATTAGCTCACAAAGGAAAATGAAAAAAGACAAAAACATCCTATCACCTGTGGGTGAACGCTATTCACAAAGCAATCACTGTCTATCTGACCTATCAGTCGTCAGTCTCTAAGGAAACATGCACACAACACTTTCAAAAGACAAGCCTGGGAGCTTAAATTCACAACTTTGCTAGACACTAAAAATCATGGTGTTAATAAAGACACTGGATTTATGGTTTATTACAACAATCTGTAACCCACTAAACCCCCATTTTTGTCC